GGGGGGGGGAAGAAGAGGGGGAAAGAAGGGGAGGGCGAGGGGGGGAGGTTCTTGAGTTGGGAGTTAGGTGGAAAGGATTCGGGGGATGGTGAAACTTGGATGATAGGGTTTGGGGGGGAAAGGGGCTCCATGCGGATGCTTTGGGGAATGTGTGTTATCTGTGTGTATCCGTGCCTAACTGCTTGGACGGAGGCGGGGAGCATGTGTGCCATAATCTCGTGCGTGTCGTACAATTCGAAAAACTGTGATCTGACAGGCTGACCCAAGACGCATCCAGCCTCTTCCTCGGCTCAACCCCCTAAACCACCAACGGACCTGCTGATCCCGGGCCTGCGTCTTGCCGTACAGGTCCACCGCTCGCCTGTACTGCACCTCCGCCTCTTTATGCCGACTTTGGAGCGTGTAGTTACGGGCCCTGCCGTACGCCGCCGCTGCCGCGTCCACCGTCTCTAACGACAGCGCCGCCAGCACCGCCGCCGCGCGGTCGTGCTGAGCCTCTTGCGCCTTGGCTGCAGCCGCCAGGTCGCCCCCTGCGCTAGCTGCAGCCGCCGCCGCCGCCGTCGCCGCCGCCAACCCATCTGCACAGGTGGCGGCGCCTGAGATGGCGGCGGCGGTGGCGGCGTGGAACTCGCCAAAGACGCGCAGCGCCGCGGCGGCGGCGGTGTCGTACAGTGTTTTAGCGTCGTCGTACTGTCCAGCGTTCCGTAGGCAGGAGGCCAGAGCAAGGGTGGCTTCTATGGTTCGTGGATGGAGACGTCCCTGCACGGTACGGCGAGCCTCCAACGCCCTGTCGTACGAAAACGGAGGGTAGAGCCCGCCAACCAGGGAGGAGAAGGGGGGTGAGGAATCATGCACAAAAACACAGAAGGGGTTGCGCCCCGGTGGGAATGCCTTGTGCTTTCAAAACAATGAGATCCAAAAACATCTGCATTATAAGGATTGAGAAATGACTGGAAGAATGGAGTGCGTTACAACGATCCTAACGGAAATGGTTTGCGGAGGTTTGAGGGGTTGGGGGCCGGAGGGAATGCTCCCCGGATGGCCGGGGGGAGTGCGAGGGAGGGGCACGGAGAGGGCCGCACACACAAATACACACACACAAATACACACA